AATGTTCTTATGAGCTGTATATACTGAAACAGCAGAAACCGAGCAGAGGGTGCCCCTGTAGGTGTGCTGAGTCATCTGCCTTAAACTGTAACATGACTTACTGTGCACTGCTGCTGGGAAGGATCAGTGTTAACCTGTGCATGACGAAGTGGCATGTGGTACAGCTGTGCTAGTACAAGTTAGATTCAAATAACATGTTTGTGGGAGAAGTCGGTGTATACTTGGTACCTGTACACTGAAGGACTCTGAGAGTGCAGTTAATTTAAAGGGAGTTGAATTTTAACTGAAAACAGAAGAGTTTTCCCGTATGTCATCATGTGTGAAACTTGATGCCAATGGATATTGGTACAGCATGGTCTGCATTTTAAAAACATCTTGTTCTTGAGAGTTGAATCTGCAAAGCTTTCTAGCTACGTGTGGAAGGCTTTGGCCATCATGGGCATAACACATCTTGGACAGGAGACTGCATTTACCCCTCTATGTTTTACTCTGGCAGAGTAAGGAATGTAATAAAGTGTTAAGCAGTCATCCCAGAGGTTTGAATGATCCTGTCTTTCTTTGAAGCACTGGCAAGGTCCCAAAGGAGATGGGTCGCTGATCTGATTACAGTGTGACATTTCCAGTCTGGGTTGAAGGATGGAATTTCAAGGATTGGTGGGGGGGGGGATGGGCAGAAGGGAGGAGAAATCTTTCCAGGTGATTCTAGCTGTGGATAGAAACAGCTTATGCAGGGCTAAGCAGGAGGAGGAGACTTGCATACAGGTATTTTAGATTTCCAAACTCAAAAATAACAAAATAAGTCTGTCTCTGGTCCCAGTGTAATATTCAAGGTCTATGTCTTGGGGCATCTTCTTTCTTCCATGCAGCTGCTTCTCTTCCAGTTTATGTTCTTTGGATGTGTCTTTTCAGGTTTTTTGTTTTCTTGGGTTTTGGCATATCTGGTTTCCTTAATCATGCACAAAGAAATGTGTGTGTATATATATATTTACATATCTATTTAAAGTGTTTGGAAGCTAACAGATGTGAAATACTTGGCAAATTCAGAGGGTGGGTTAAAAATGCCATGGTATTACAGGGAAGGGGATTTTACTTAAATGGTTGAATTCCTTGTGTTTTGCTCACCTCTGACACAGTGCTGGAGAGAAACATTTAAAAAAAAAAAGTATAGCATTAAAGTGTGAATATGCTTTTCTTGCCTGTACAAGGAAGTGTTCTCTTTCTGTAGTGATGATGATTCCAATAGCTGGCTGTGATAATGAAACTGTCTTGTTTCCATCATTTTATTGCTGCTTGTAATCTCTCCTGTTCAAAGTAGTTCTATGAAGCTAGAGAATATTTTGTTTCCAGTTATTTCCAAGGTCACAGCAAATCACAAACGTTGTGAAAAGGCACACATCTTTCCCAGTTTTACTCCTTAGGTGTTTACCCCGTCTGTATGCTTTGTGCCTCAAAGAGATTTATGTTGTATCTTAGCACTTGACTGCTGCCTTGTCTGAAGATCCAGCAGGAAAACTGGACCAAATATGTGGAAAGCTGTGGCAGCAGTACTTGGTGCCAGCCTGCATCCATGCAGCTTGTTAACTGTCAGTCCCTGTGATGCTCTTCCCATCTTGACTGGGACCAGAGGAATTCCACAGTTCTGTGCTGATCTGCCTGGGAGATTTATTAGCAGAGCAGGGTTTGTTGCTCTAACAGCTATTCTTTTCTCCTCTGGGGAAAAGGTTGGCTGGATCAAGCCAGTTAGCCATCTGTTCCAGCAGTTAGACTGTGCTGAAATAGATGATTTCCTGAGGTTTCTCCCAGCTGTATTTTCTATTGTCAGTGCTATCCGCGGCCTCCCTCTGGCATTTAGGCACCACTTGTCCACAAGCGCTACAGGGTCTGGTGAAATGAGGGGTAGGAGAGAGATCTATCATGGGTCAGGAGGAACTGTCACCCACCGGTGAAACATGCCTCTCTGGTGATTGCATATCCACAGTTAGGGCTGTCAGGTTTCCATTCACGTGTTATGTGCCCTTCTATTCTGGCAGTTAGGTACAAGGCTGGGGCTTATTAGGACCCTTCTGAGAGTTGTGCTTATGTGTAAGCTTTACTTCCATTGTTCTCCAGCCTTTTGAGACCTGTCTTGATAAGGGATCAGGGATGCCACTAATCACTCTGTCCATCCCTCCCTCCCCAGACTCTCCAGACTTCTCTTCCAGCTGTTGAGATTGCAAATAAGTATGACCTATTTGGGTATGCCAGTTGTCTGGAATGGCCAGAGGTACAGGTAGGAACAAGATGTCTTTGTGGTGATACGTTTTTTTAAATTAGTTAACTCATGTTAAAGTTATGTTCAGCTCCTTTTTTTCCAGAGCTTGAGATGGGGAGTCTGTGTGCCCACATCAGTGTTTTAGTGTTGACAACATAGCTCCATGTTAGCTTCTGGTTTTAAATTTCCTCGGTTAGTAAGAAACTGCTCTTTTCCTTAACACTTGGTTAATAATCAATGTTTCAAATTGTTCCTGAATTGCAGATGAGTCTGGGAAATTGTTGGTAGACATTTTAATGCTGGTGTGGTAGAAATCCAGCTCTTAAATTTTGAATCTCAAATGGTATTTCGTAGCACAGCAATACATACACCAGATTTATCAAGATGTGTGCTGCTCTTTGCAGTTTGTGGCATTTCAAGGTTATTTCTATTACAGATTTGGTTTACAAAGAATGATTCTAGCTAAAGTACTTGATACCAAGGTTTACTTAAAAATATATAAAGGAAGCAGGGAGAGGTGGGAAGGCTTGGAAATAAATTTGCTGGGTATTGTAGGTAATTAGCTTAGTTAAGTAACTTACAATTATAAATGTTTTCATTTGGGTTATGATGATACAGTAGTAATGGGAATTATTTGGCTGTCTGCTGACAAGATGAAAGAAAAATACTGATTTGCTATTGCAGAGGTAATACAGGGGGAGGGGGCAACCCTGAACAACCTTGGCAGATCTTCCAGTTATGCAACAGTGGTGTTAGTTAACTGTGTGCAGTGCCTCTTCTTCAGTACCACCCTGTTTGGGTGGTATTGATTTCTTATCAATTCCTTGTTGGCTAGTAAACAGTAGGTGTGTGGTCTTGTACATTGCTTTTGAAGATAGAACTAATTTTTTTTTTTCATTAGCTTTAGAACTAAGCTTTAATGTTTTGTTGATGAAACGTGGCTAAAAGCTTAAGTAGTAACTCTTCATTGTTTGCCTTGGCAAAATGATGTTACTTGTGAACAACATTGCACTAAATTCTGGAGCAAAATTTTGAGGCTTTTCAGAGTCTCTGTTTTAGCATTAGATTTTTTTGTTGCTGTTTTAAAATACTTTGATTCTGAATTACACAAGTTCTAACCTGAAATTTCTCTCTTTGTCTGTACTTAGAATTGATATCTTAATTTTTTAGGTGTTTTTTTTAAGCTAAGATTTGATAAAAGGTTGCGGCTTTGCTTATAAAAGAACTATATATGCTATATGCTGCTATATCTGAAGAGATATTAGCAAGCAAGTGCATACTCCTTTGTATGAAACCCGAGCCAGTGGTGTGTGGGAGAGAGAAACATATCTGGGTGGTTGGGGTGTTCTTTTGTTGTTGTTTTGCTGCTTGATTTGGAAAAATCTGTTCGGTAGCAAATCTGACCTGTTCTGTGTTTTTGCTAACTTCACTGGTGATAGAAAGTAAGGCAGACATCAGAAATACTACTTCTATTGCCATTTTTCCTTTTGATGATTCTTTTCATATCACTTCATCTGTCTACTCTTAATTTTATTTGGTTCCAGAAGGATGTCTTACTTTCCATTCCCTTATAATTAGTAACGTTCGATCCTCATAGCATTTTGATTCAAAAGTGCCAAGTAACAAAGACCTCTCAGGTTCCCCTCTGTTGAGGTGTTTCACTGTAATTTCTCAATGCATTAAAGATGTTACTTTCTCTGTCAATATAATCTCTAGGTAGGCAATGAATGATACAAATTGGGGTTAGAAAAGGGTCCTTGAGAAACAGTTGTCACTCTTCCAGTCCAAAATGACTTCTTGAAATTTTCTTCCTGCTTTTGAAGGATGGAGCTGCTTGGTGGGCAGGCTGAGGGCAAGTTCTAAGTGCTTAACTATGTAATGCACAGATATTCCCAGGCTGAGATGTGACTGGGTAAGTTTGCGTGGTACCATGCAGCTCTGTACAGATCAGCTTGTGTGAATGTGCTGTAGTAGCAGTGTGTGTGTGTATTACTTAGCAATGTGCAAGAGCTGTATTGCGTGAAGACAGTGTCTGACTCTACCCTTAGCCATTCATCTATTTTTTTTTCTCGAGGCTATGGCAGCTCAGATGTTTCTGTGGAGTCATTGTGTGTTAATCCGCAGTCCAGTGAACTTGGAAGAAGACCTGTTTGTGACAGAGGTTTTGGATGAAGCCTTGTTTATGCAAAATTATTTAAAGCTTAAGATTAATACTGGTAAAAAAAATTGTTTTGTGGAGTAAGCACAACGGCCCTTTAAAAAGTTGTCCTTTTTTTATTTAAATGTGGTTGGTGCTAATTGGCTCTTTTGTAAAGAAAAAAAGGAACATAAGACTAGTTAGGTTTTTATTTTTAACTTCAGTGAGAAAGATAATTATCTTGATTTTATTTATTATATTTTTAGCTGCATAACAACAGAAATGGTTTTAAGTGGCTTTTACATGCCAGAGTCCAGCTGGAATTAAAGCAAGTCATGACTCAGTCCTCTATGTAATGTCAGAACTGCACTCCAAGTTTAGTTACAGTTCTGAAAGTGGTATTTACCTAACACAGAGGTTTTCACATGCCTGTTCCAGTAGAGAATGCTGACTTTCTGTTTTTGTTTTCTTTTAGGTTATGTTTCACACTATGTGCTGACTGTCTGTACTTACAGAAGATATTTAAAAACAAACAGACTTTTTTTCCAAACATTTTGATTCCAGTGGAATCTGTGCTTTAGATTTTTGTCTTGTCAATTAACTCCTGAAACAATGCCTGTACAAGCTCCACAATGGACGGATTTTCTCTCCTGCCCAATTTGCACACAGACTTTTGACGAAACAATCCGGAAGCCCATCAGCTTGGGCTGTGGCCACACTGTCTGCAAGATGTGCCTCAATAAGCTCCATCGTAAGGCATGCCCTTTTGACCAGACCACTATCAATACAGACATTGAACTCCTTCCTGTCAACTCAGCCTTGCTGCAACTAGTGGGTGCTCAGGTATCAATGCTTTTTTAATTTTTTTCTTCCCTTTTTTTTTTTTTCTTTATTAAGATTTTCCTGTGATTGTTTTCCTTCTTTCTTTTAGGAGGTCTTGAATAAAGAATATGACTTTGTGTTAATAGCATGTAGGGTAGACATCTACCTTTTTGTGAACTTTGACGAATACATGTTTTAGACCTTTGACATGTTGTAGTAGAGATGCCTCGAACAACAGTTCAGATCTTGATTCTAGTGGTTGCTGACTGTGATTTTTGTGTTAAATTTAGTATAACTGTGGGCTGTCACCAGAATGGGTTGGTTGCATTCACTTCTTCCGTAACATGCATCTAGGCTTGCTCTGACAAAAGGATGAACTGGGTCAGTGAGTGTATCTGGTGGAAAGCCATTCTTCTGTGGTAGGTTACTTGCTTTATGACACTGACCCTACCAACTTGTGACCAGTTGTTCCAAAAGCAGGAGAGGAGAGTGAGGTGGTGTGGTATAACCCCAGCCAGCAGTAAATACCACACAGCTGCTCGCTCACTGCAAATGGGCAGGAGAATTGGAAAAAAGGTAGAATTTTATGGATTGAGATAGGAACACTTTAATAATTGAAATAAAGTAAAATATAATAATAGGAAATAGAGGAATAAAACCTCAAAAAAGACAAGTGATGCACAGTAGAATTGCTCATCACCCACTGACCAATACCAGCCAGTTCCCAAGCAGCAATCAGCCCCTTCTGGGTAACCCCCCAGTTCATTTACTGGGCATGACGTGCTGCAGTATGGAATACCCCTTTGGCTAATTTGGGTCAGGTGTCCTGTCTCTGCTCCCTCCCAGCTTCATGTGTCCCTCCTCACTGGCACAGCATGAAAGACTGAAGCTTTTGATCGCAACTAAAACATCGGTATGTTATCATCATTATCCTTACACTGAAGTCAAAACACAGCACTGCGCTAGCTACTAGGCAGAAAATTAACTCTATCCCAGCCAAAACCAGGATGTAAGGGAAGTGGGATAGACCTCTCTGGTAGCAGCCTTTATACTGCTTTATATTTAATATGAAACTCTGCTCTGGAAGTGCAGCTGCCTGATCTGACATGCTACTCTAAATCCTTATAGGTGAATGGGGGAAGTCTGCCTGAGACAGAGTACCCCTTTCTGCCGGAACAGGTACTTGTGAGATCAGCCTAACTAGTGATCTGATGGGAGTGAGTACGTCAATAGCATTGGTACTGATGGCAGCCTGAGGAAAGGGCCAGGGATGTGTGGAAAGCACCATCACCCTGTTCAGTTACAGCACAGACTTAAATTGGCGTAAGGTTATCATGGTGATCACTGGTAGTTTCCTGTGACCCCTGCCTCCCAAGGCCAGTCAGGATTGTGGACTTGGGGAGAGGAGGGACAATCATGTCTAACTTACAGGTGAGGAACAAGAATGTAGATGGGATGTAGTTATGGAGGGATTATTGGTTTATTCTGTTCTGCTTCTGTGTCTGGACTCAGCACAGTTGGAGGTAGCAAAAAATTCAATGAGATCCATAGTTAATGGAAAAGGGAGGAGCTATGTTGTGGAGGAACATTAAAGAAAGGATTGTTATGATGCAGGTACTGGGACCCAGAGATCCAGATGTTCTTTTGCCACTTCTTTCTCTTATTTAGTTTATAAAGTGATATGCCTAATTGGTTGTTGCTCTTTTGTGACACAAAAGCTGTTTTTTAAAGTGTTAAAATTGAGTTGTATTTCTGGCTGTGCCAGGTGACTCATCCTGCTCTGCAGGAGAAGGCAATGAAACTGTACTTCCATTTCTGTGATATGCATGTCATATGTATGCCACCATCTTTGAAGAACTTCCAAGCAGTGTGAAATGTGTGGGTGATGGTATAAATAAATATTGTCACTTTCTTTCTCCCTTATATCATCTTCCTTCCTCTCTGGAGTTTCTAGAATAGTTCCAGCTATATCCAGATGTCCACATTTACGATAAACATGTTTTTCTTTTTGCATTTGTTTGGTTTTGTGTGCATTTTTTTAAGTGTGTTGAGAAGCTGTGTGATATCTTTAACTTGATCTTTGCCTGAATTAAAATTTCCATAAAAACAAGATCTTCTGGAATGAGATGGGAAACCACACTGTGTCTGCTACAGGTAATTGAGAATTTTGTTGTGGCTGTGCTAGTTAGCCAGCCAGTTTCCTCTTCCATTTGTACATGAGATATGAAGAAGGAAGAGTGGCTTTTTGGCAGTAGGGTATTTATCTTGAGCGTTCCGTGTTCTGACTTTGAATTGATGACATCATTTTTGTGCTACTTTTTAAATTTTTTTTTTTTTGTGATCATGATTCGTAGGACCTTGTTTCATGGTGACTTCAAAGCTGCAGATGCCACCAAGAGACAGTATTCCCTTCTCCCTCATTTGCCACTCATTTCTGCGTACATGCTGCTCACTGCGTTTTGTTACATAAAGAATAATGAGTGAACTTTAGCTGAGTTTTTATTACTGACAGACTTTCCCCTTAAGAGAAATTTTCACCACCTGTCCCCCAGCTCCTAATTTAAATCAGCATGTGAATGAAATCAGTGTCCAGTATAACTTGCCTTCCTTTTTCCTCCCTTTCTCTTCCTGGCACCTGTTACCAGACTATGGAATACTAGAAAATAAATACACTGCTTTGCTGTGAAGTGAGACAGTTACTGTTTTCCTCTAATTTCCTTAAGGTTGGGTTTTGTTGGGTTTTTTTTGGGTTTTTTTTTTTTGGGGGGGGGGGGGGTTAATCCTTTTATAGAAAACAACTTCGCTAAGTTAAAACAAAAAAAAACCCCACAATTTTAGAGAAACTACTGTAATTTTGAGCTTCCTATTAAGAAGGTGGGCTCTCTTCATATGTATCAACAAAAATGATCTGCAAGTAGCAAACCAGATTACAAAGCATGAGTAGTATCAACTTCAGAGAAAAAAAGCCCACTTTCTTGTTCCACTTGGTTTAGTTTCAGGAAGGTGTATGTGTTATCAATGTCCCCTGATCTCCAACAAAACCTTGTATGTTTTAACCTGAGTCCATGGAGAGGTGTAATACTTTATTTTAAAATGATATATTCCAAAAACCAGGTTTCATATTAGAAGGAAATACAGTACAACACGAAGCTTTTATGTGGGAGGGGAAGAACAGTTTGTTCTTTTCCTTTGGGGAGACTTCTTCGAAGTTCACACATTTATAAGTGCTAAGTGCTTTTTTGCTGGTGGCAGAGGAGGAGACCAGGCAATTTGAAGTAACAAATCTATTCTGCTGTGACTGGCAGGAATGATGGGATTCCAGGGCAAGTCATGTTGGTTGGCTTTCACACAGGCACAGTGTGTAAAATAAGCAGGACAGTATTTCTGGGGAAAATACACTAAATTTGTCATATAGTCACCAGGGAAAGCAGTAACCTATTTCTCTGACAATAGTATTCTTTCTCTGTATAGGTTTTGTCAGTTTAATGGTGAAAAGAGTTGGTTTCTTACTTGAACTACAGGTTGTTTCTCAGTTTACCCTCTCCCCACCCCTTTCCAAAAACAAAACTTGTTGCCCCTTGATGTGAGAATTAACTGTTGCAAAAGACTCAAATTCCAACTCTCCCACTGTAGTATGGTACACAGCAATGGTGGTTGCAGGGTGTATTCTGGAAGGCAGTGGTTGGACAATTCGGCCCACATATAGATAAGTTCAGTCACGTAAGATGATGGCAGAGAGGAGGAGGGATCATAAGATTAATGAGTAGTATTATTCCTGGGAGAGGTGGAAATAACAGCACCTGAACAGGAGTTGAGTGTATTGTGAGGGAAGGGAGGCACATAGCATCTAGTTCCAACCCCCCTGTCATCGGCAGGGACACCTTCCACTAGACCAGGTTGTTCAAGGCCCTGACCAGCCTGGCCTTGAACACTGCCAGGGATGGAGCATTCACAGCTTCTCTGGGTAGTGACCTTGAATGTAAAGCAGAAAGGCATTCATGGGATACCTTGCTTTTTAAACTTTTTGGGTAAAGAAATCTCTTTAAGCCAGTTTGCATTGGAATTAGGCTTTCAGTTTTACCTACCCAAGTATCCACGTATTACTCACTTTATGCAACTCTTTTAAACATTCAGCAGGCTGGTGTTTTGATGGTACATAATCATGGATCTGTCATCCAAGCTCTTCCCTCTTGTTTTTTTAACACATGAAACAGCAGTGTGCACGTTCCAAACAGGTGACATTAAGTGGCAAAAATGTTTGCTAATTTTTTTTTATTGTAACTTTTGGTGAAATTAATTGCCACAGAAGAGGAATTAGATGTGAATAAGTTGCCCTTGGGTGCAAACTTCTGAGGAACTGAAGACAGTAGGCTTTGGGGTTAGTTTGTAGGTTTTTTTGTGGTGTTTTTTGTTGGTTTGGGTTTGGATTGGTTGGGTTTGTTTTGGTTGGTTTCTTTTTTGGGGTTGGTTTTTTTTTTTGTTGTTGTTTTTTGTTTTGTTTTGTTTTGTTTTTTGTTTGTTTGTATTTTGGGTTTTTTTGCCAGGAAGCAAATCATCTTGGGCAGGGCGGGGAGGTGTGTGAAACATCGGGGGAACAGTTTTCAAGCCAGATAAAAGCGGGTTTGGTCTGTTTTAACGTGTTCTTATTCTGTACAATTAGATGTCTAATGATAATTAGTGATAACACAATCTGGCATCCTACATCAAATTATGCCTAAATCACCAATTCAAAATCGCAAAATCACTGGTATGAGTTGACGCTTCAGCATTCTTTTCCGGTCCCCTTCCTCATGCCGTCATAACCTGCCTCTTCCCGCAACCACGAGTAGTCAGTCATGCTGATGGGCAGCATTCCACTGCCAGGACAGTTGTAATCGTGCCAAGGCAGATGCATGCAAAGCCATCACAGATTTGAAGTAATTGAACATCCGAGATGATTTTTCTTGTCTTGTTCTAGTCCCCCTTGGGAGGTATTATGTTATATAAATATAGTTGCAGTGAAAACTGTGATAAGGGTGTGGTGTCTGAGAGAATGGAATATTGAATGAGGAGGAAAATAATGAACTCACTCTGCAGGGCATCTATTTTGAGGCTGTGGAGTGATGGTGTAAACAGAAGTGACCATAGGGTCACAAGGATATTTCATGAAGGAAGGGGAAGTGAATATTTTTTGGAGTTGAGTTATTTCTCGATTGTCCCTCAACAATTCAGTGACAGAGCCAAAATTAAAATACAGGTGTCTTGTGACTTTTATGAATCATGTCTTTACCATTTTTCTGTTGGTAGATGTTGGCTTTTTAATCAGTCTAACCTTAAAATATTTTAAAAAGTCTTGGAAGCGCATATAATAAAACCAGCAAAAGGGCAAATTATTTGTAAGTTTTGCTGTGAGATTGCTTCACATGTATGAAGATAAAGTGTGTGTAGGGCAAAATACATTCTCTTCTCCTGAAGACTCCTGAAACCACAAAATAAGCATCTTGGTTTATTGTTGAGTATTACACTTGCTCCAGCTTAAGATAAAGTTAAACTCTAATCTCTCTTGGGCTCATTTTGCAAACAGTGCAGATGTGTAAATCTTTCAGATTTTCACACTGAAGTTTCTCTTGCAAAGAGAAGAAATGGGAGTGATATGCAGATACAGTGTTGAATAGCTTAACTCTTGGAGTATTTCCTCTGCCAGCTTTTACTTGGGGGAGGGGGAAGTATTCTGTTAGTTGCCTGGACAGTCCTTGTGTCTTGCTGGTGGAGTTGTGCTGTGTATGGCATTCCAAACTGCTGCTGTGAATGTGTTCTAAATCTGCCTTAATTCAAGATCAAAATCCAGGGTTTGAACACAGCTTCCTGTCTCATGTCTGTTCCAAGCCCTCTTTTGTCTGCTGCGTGTTGCAAGTTTGTAGTTGTATTTTGGGTTGTTACTGGTGCCAGATTGAATGCTTGCAGGAGTAAATAGAAATCTGCACAAAATAAATTACAGCAGTGAATAGAGCAGAGACCGTGTAGTGTCTGTCTCAGCACAAATGCACGAGATGCATGTTGTTTGATCAATAAGCCAGTTCTGCTTGTATAACTTGCTAGACGGAAGCAGACTGCTAAAATGGCAGTGGCTTTGAAAAGGAGACAGACTGTTCTTTTAACATGAAAGCAAATATTGAAGGGGTTAATTTTTGTTTCCCAAACCCCAAGAAACCAGTCCAGTTCTAACAGATATGGATGACCACTGTAAGATACAGTTGCAGAATCTAGTTTTTCTGAAGCCTTTCTTGCTTACAGACAGACAAAACAAAGCAAAATCAAACTCAAAAAACCGACATCCCCTACCCCAAATTAAAATAAAACTAAGAAACCCCCAGAACTTCACAAGTTTACTGCAGTCAGGAAAAGCTTCCAGGCTAACCTTGCTGCCTTGGTATGATTAAGCTTGGTTTTGGTTTTCCCTTTAATAGGAGTAAAAGGGGATGTCTGATCCAGACTGTCTTGATTATGTTAGTTTCGGGGTGGTATCAACTCTCTTAATTGTAGCTGATTATCTTATACTTGGAGACTGGTTTTGTGTTTCAGATTTTGGTTTTTGGGTGTTTGGTTTTTTTTGTTTGTTTGGGTTTTTTTTTTGTGTGTCACCTGCTGTAAAAGGAACAGTTATGCAGCTAGTAACTTTTTATTTTGCAGTGTGTGTCAGATGAGCAACTTAGCATGCACAGTTGTCTAAATGTGTAGCAGTGTGATCACATGGTTGAAATGGATTACTTTCTATTAATATTGATAGGAAAGCTCCTGTCCACATTGATGGTGGCAACCATATATGTATGTGTGTGTATGTATATATTTTATATATATTCACTGCTTGTATTTGCTACTGCCATCATAATGCTACTCTACACATGGCTGGGTTGCACGTGCAAGTTAGTGGTTTTGTAGCTGTCTTTAACTCAAGCATTAAAGGCTTGTGCTTTTAGATTGAGGGGCCTAGGTTGGTCCCTATAAGCAGCTATGTGGGATTAGCATGCTGTCATCACAAGTGGGGTAGTGATTGACTTGGAAATAGAAGTTGAAGTCTGAGATTTGTTTACACTTCAATAGCAAAAAAAAAAAAAAAAAAGGTGTCAGTGTTTAGTCTTCTAAGAGCATTCAGTTCTCTATTCTCGTATATTGAGTTGATTGCTGAATAATGATGTTGAGAAACATCAGTACGGTGCTATACTGTACCCAATAAGTTTGTTTGAAGCTTTAAGAATTTAGTGGGAAGAAAAAAAAAAGAAAGGACTGGGGGGCAAGGGTCATCCAATGTCCTTTGAAAAATTCCTGATTTCTGAGGAATGCTTGGATGAAGAAATAAATGCCACCGATTCCTCCCCTCTACCCCCCCCCAAGAAAAAAAACAACCCAAAAACCACCAAACCCCTCCAGCGCACACACCCCCCCCCAAAACAAACAAAACACCAAACTAAACAAAACAGTGCAAAATGAACAAAACCAAAACCACCCAAGAATGTAAATGTAACTTGCCTGTGTTGTCAAATTAATACTTGCAGGGTGTGTTCATATGCCTTGTGTAGGATAACTTGGTCAAACCAGGATTCATCTGATTTGTTCTGATTTTTTTGTTTGATTGGTTTTGGCCAGCCAGCTTTGGGGATGCCTCAATGTGTATGTTACTTCAGTCAAAGTTTTGTAGTTAGAGGAAATACTGTTTCTTATGTAATTTTTTTGTTGAGGATTAGGCCTTCTGCTTCTAGTTCCTGTCAGCCACTAAATAAAAAGTCTACTGAACATAAATTCTTTTGTTTTCATTTTCATGGAATTTTTGTTTTTTTAATTCTATCATTAATCAAGCTGAAACAATGCTTACTGATACATAAAAAACACAGATGGGGAACAAAATAATAAATGCTTGATATTAACAAGTGTTTGTAAGTAAGGCTGCCACTTACACGTATTCATTGTAGATGTATGTGCATCTCTTTTCAGGTTCCTGAGCAGCAGCCAATTACTTTATGTAGTGGAGCTGAAGATACCAAGCATTATGAGGAGGGCAAGAAATGTGTGGAAGAACTGGCATTGTACCTCAAACCACTCAGCAGCGCAAGAGGTAGTTCCTTCATTGTTTCCTTTGAAAATGAAAGCTGGAAACAAATAAGATGCAAAACAAACTAGCCAAATTATTAGTCTGCTTGAAAAATGGATATAAATCTAGTTTGAAAACAAATTGAAATAAATTTCCTAAACATTAAGATTGTTTTCACAACAAAGGGGATGAGGATAGTGGAATTTAAAAGTGTCATGTCAAAAATAATACTGAGAAAAGGCTGAGGTATTAGGCAGAGTTATTTGGCTTGCTATAGTAAGTTGAGACAAACTTTGTAAGTTGAGTTGACCTCTGTAGAATAAGTAAAAATAAGTAAATTTGGGGGTTTTTTTTGTGTTCTGCTTTGCTTTAACTGTAGTAATGCAGTTTGTTTGTAGAGGAGGATTAAACCGAAACGAGAAAATTGCTGCATATAGGATATATAAGAGAAATGAGTGATAATCTTTTTATTTAAGATCCAGACAAGAGCTGGGTCAATATGAGTAATTGTAATTTAGCAAAACTGTGCTGGAGTATGGATTTTATTTATACTGCATATGGTGGACTTAGAAGATCTGTCAACCCAAGTAGTAGATAGGAGGTGTCAGGTTTTCAAAAATTAATTTTTACAAAAAGCTGTCTCAAGCTTTTCCAACTAGTACAGTGTGACAGCAGTATCACTCTGAGTAGAAGTGGTCCAACGAACAAGCTCTGTGCTATAGAATGAACTTGGTATGACAGCCATATGTCTAGTGGGTCATTTGTTCCTTCAACCTGATTTAATGACTTCCAGCGTGTTTGTGAAGCACAGTTTTTGCATGTAATTAAGCATCACCTAGACCAACCTGAGCTCACATGCATGGCCAAAGCAGTGGAAACACCAAATACAGACAATAAACTATCTTGTGAAAACAGACAAATTTTGAAGAAGGCAGTGATCAGTGAAGATCACAGATATAGGGAAGGACTGTGTTATGATTCTACCCTTGAGTTGACACCTGGGAAATCCATATGGGAGAGTGCAAGACAGACTGCCAATATGGGGAGAGAATTCATTAGAGGCTCCACATTCTAAGGGAACCAAATCAGTCAATGACAAGACCTTAAAACTGTGGGAAAGCTAATTCCCAGGAACTGTTTGTTTTTAATGTTGAGTAAAATAGAAAGACAAAAATGAACTTCTGATATGCCTTCTCTAATGTTCTGTTTAACAAAGTGGACTTCAGGAGAACTAGCTTTGTGCTTCTACAGTACAATGGTTGAAGGCTGGTGCAAGAAGAGGAGACATGAGGTAGTTAATTACTACTTTTTTTTCTGCTTCACTTTGAAGGTGTGGGTCTTAACAGTACTACTCAGAGCGTGCTAAGTCGTCCCATGCAAAGGAAACTTGTGACATTAGTTCATTGCCAGCTAGTGGAGGAAGAAGGGCGAATCAGAGCCATGCGTGCAGCACGATCACTTGGTGAAAGAACAGTCACAGAGCTCATTCTTCAGCATCAAAATCCTCAGCAGCTCTCTTCCAACCTCTGGGCTGCAGTGAGAGCCAGAGGGTGCCAGTTCCTTGGCCCAGGTAGGTAACTACTTCTGTACTAGAAGTAATTTAGAATTGAGGAGGATTGATAAATGGGTGTCGCATTGCCTGAGTAATTTTATTAGTCAGTGGCTTAATTTTTTTTAATAGCTGTTCTTCAGAATTAATGATGTATCTGTTGGGCTGCTGTCAGACTTTCTTATATTTTTAATGCTTTTGCAAGTATTTTGTGAAACTTTGTTCTAGTGATAAGATAAAATGGAAAGCAGTTTCTTGCTTGCTGTTCTTTGAAAAGTAAGAACCTTCTGGAAAAAATAAGGTTACTAGAAATGACTGGACATGGCTTCCTTTATTTGTAGCTGGGCTCCCACTTGTAGGGCAAAAACTGTGCGGAAATCTTTCTTGGTCTTCTCTTATCCTTTGTTTCTTTTTCTTTGCATTTCCCCTTCCCCACCAGCAATGCAAGAGGAGGCTTTAAAGCTCGTTCTCCTGGCTCTGGAAGATGGATCTGCTTTGTCACGGAAGGTCTTGGTTCTCTTTGTGGTTCAGAGGCTGGAGCCACGATTTCCTCAGGCTTCTAAAACTAGCATTGGGCATGTTGTCCAGCTTCTTTACAGAGCCTCGTGCTTCAAGGTATGAAGGTGATTCTGCTTGGAGATTTCATAATGCTATGGAAACTGTCGTTTTTCAGTCTAAATTTTCAATGTCCTGTAACATTAAATATACCTAAAAATATGTGTAGTTACAGGAAGTATTACTCATTAAATACTAGATGGGGACTTCTTTGGAGATACAGCTTTTCTTTGTCATTTAGTTCTTTGTTGTACAGCTATAATAGCAATGTAGGCTGAAATAGCAACTTTAAACTGTAAAGCTTGACTGCCCAAGTTTTAATATATGCACACAATAGATGACAAACCCTGTATGTAAGTCAGTGTAACTGTGTCTTTAGAAGAGGTGTAAAGCTAGAAAATCCCCAGTTCGGTTGAGTGGTGATGTTGTTAGAAACAAAGAAATAAGAGGCTCTCGGATATCAAGAGTTGTATACAGAGAATTTAAGCTGCTCAATATACTTCACAGTACTTAATGGTCCATTCCTAGCTGCTCAATTTAAATGTTACGCACTTTTTGCTAAACAAGGAGAAAAATGCTGCTTTGCAGCTAATTGTACCCTCAAAATTCTGCAATACAAGCAAAATACCTTGACTGGAGAAGTAAGGTGTGGCTACTCTCAAATCATTTAGGAATTGTGACATTTCAACCAATAAGCTGGGTAGGGTTTCAGTAAATTATGTTTGGTAGCCATTTCATAGAGGTTTTGGTTTATGAAGATGGAATTTTAGTAGCCACTAGCATTCACTGCATGGTGTCATAATTCAGTTTAGTTTGAGAGAGAGAACTTAGTTGCTGACTGAATTTCCCTTGCTTTGGACTTTATATAATCTCTGGATTATCCTGCTTAGTTGTAGTTGTATTTGGCTTGTTTCTCCCCACTAGGTGACAAAACGGGATGAGGATTCCTCCCTGATGCAGCTGAAGGAGGAATTTCGGACTTATGAAGCTCTGAGAAGGGAACATGATTCCCAGATAGTTCAAATAGCTATGGAAGCAGGTTTACGCATTGCACCAGATCAATGGTCCTCACTGTTATACGGAGACCAGTCTCACAAATCCCACATGCAATCTATCATTGACAAGGTAAAGCCACCTAAAATCAGCCCAGTCTAACTTGTTTGCAGCTGTAGTAGATTTATATGCTTGGGCACAATCTGCAAATCCATGCTACATATGTACTTGTCTTACTCATTAGTAATTTGCCCTGTTATTTCAGCCATATCAGATTTTGAAATAACTAGAGTATGTATTTGTAACCTGAAGAGTCTCATTTCTTTTGCCATCCTGCCATCTCTTTCTGTTTTGCCTCTTCCTGTTTTACCTCTTTCTGGACATGAAAAGCCACAGGGTTTAGCTACATAGCTGAGCGATGTCCTTTCTGAACAGCTGATAACTGCAAATGTGGTAACAGAGATTTATGGTTCATGTTTCCAGGCAGGAAGTTAGTGTGTAAATTGGAGAAAAAAAAGAATAATTCAGACTCCTGTCTATACCTGAAGTATGAAAGAGAGGTAGAAGCACATTTCTTAAATCAAATGACTTGGCCTTTGGAAATGCCCAGCTGTCTTTTTGTTTAGAGGGAACATAGGATAAATAGGCTTTTAAGATAGGGGACTGACATGTAAGTGCCTAAATTAGGTGGGGAAAATGGAATCTTGTTGAATGGTTGCAAAAACTGTGAAATGATTGCTTTAGCTGCTGTGCAGGAGGATTAGCTTCAAAATCAGTCTGCTATGTATTTATGCCTTTGCCTACCTTTTCAGGTGTCCTGCCAGAAATCTCCTGAAGGTTTTAGGTAGAATTAAAGGATTTTAAATACTGAAGTTGTGTGATGTTAGTAAATGGAATATTGCTAGTTATTGTCTGCTGTACTCAGTTTAAAGCAGGATGCAAACTTGTTGGTTTGAGGATTGGAGATATTAGGCTCTTCAGAAATCTAATTAAATGGTTCTAATACTCTTTCTTTTTTCTGGGTGCCAGCACAACACAGAGATTATATTGCAAGAAATAATACCAGACTTTATTTTGTCTATTTAAAGCTGTATTTTAACCTGCAATGTCAAAGAACTGTGTCGTTAATACCAGGGGAGGAATTTAATAGAAATTGCTGACTGAAATGGGCTTGTGAGAAAAACATTTTACTCCAGGTTTGGAAGACGGCTCTTGTGAGCTTGTGGAGCAGCCTTCAGAAATCATAAGGATCGCTTTGCCTGTAGAAAGTTAATTATTATAATTTTTTTAAGTTGCAGACCCCAGCCTCATTTGCACAGAGTGTTCAGGAATTAACTATTGCTCTTCAGAGGACTGGAGATCCTGCTAACCTGAATCGCCTTCGACCCCACTTAGAGCTCCTAGCAAATATTGATCCCAGTCCAGGTAAGTCTAGATGTTTTATAAAAACTTCTTAGCAAGAGGAGCTTAACACTCTTAGAAGACTGGAATCTGTTCAGTAAGTTCAAGGTAACATACTCTAATTTATGAACTTAAGATTCTTGTGTGGTACTCATAATCAGCCTGAGAATAGCAGTAATCTGTATGAGGAACTGGACTGTTCTGAAGCTAAAACAGGTTCAAAAGTATGATGGGAATAGTTTCGCCACTTCCCTGAAAAGAGCTTCCTTGTTTGATAGCATTGGGTTAGTATAGATGAGGACATTGAATAGAATCATAGAATAGTTAGGGTTGGAAAGGACATTAAGATCATCTAATTCAACCCCCCTGCCATGGGCAGGGACACCTCACACTAAACCATGTTGCCCAAGGCTCTGTCCAGTCTGGCCTTGAACACTGCCAGGGATGGAGCATCCACAACTTCCTTGGGCAACCCATTCCAGTGCCTCACCACCCTCACTGTAAAGAACTTCTTCCTTATATCTAACCTAAACTTCCCCTGTTTAAGTTTGAACCTGTTACCCCTTGTCCTACCA